ATATCAAAAACAATATAAGACAGAACAATCTACATAGGCATCACTATGAGGCTAAAAAAGAATAATTGTGGCTCTTGAAGTACATTCAATCTTTATCTTAAGTCATTGAACGTTTATTAGAATATATATGGCTATTGTAGCTAGATAAAATATTAGAGATGTGTCATTATTTTTTAGATACTGGCTGTGCCATAAGAGCCATTGGTTTGAAGTTTATGGAGAACAATTTTTGCATTTCTATAGCAGCATAATGGCATCTAAAATATCTTTATACATGCTTTTTGTGCAAATGAATTCTGCCCTGTGCTGGCTACATATTTCACAGTTCCTGCTTGCTAGCTCACTGAAAATACATCTCAGAAAACCAATTTATGAAAGTGAGACAAATTCCTTGCACAGTTCTTTGGACTTTCTTTCATGCCTATGTTTATTACTTCCCACACTGCAAAAGCATTAAGACTTTGAACTCTAAACAGTAACTAGACATCTACTAGAAATACAGTACATTTTTCTGCAGCAATAAGGGCAACCCAAAGCTTTCCTAACCTGGTACCTTTCTGCCTGGATTTAACACATGGAAGTTGCATTTTACATTTCAGTCATATTATGCAACTTGCCTTTTCCTTTAGGATTAAGCCTTAAATCAAAACTCAAAATCCTAAACTTAGAAAAAAGATACAAAATGAAGATTTTTACAGTTCTAATGTAGCAAGTTAAATACATACTTCGCTTGCTCACTCCTATTCCTCCCTAAATGGAGGAATACTATATATACTATTCATTTAACTAGGTTTTGTCTTGATCCCTGAAATCTGTGAGGTCTAGAAGGAATACAACAGCTTCAACCCAAGCAGCTTTGACTTTTTGTAACTCCTGGTCCAAAATCTTCTATATCTGTTCTGGCTGGGATGACACTCCACCAGACAGAATCCAATGCACAATCTTGGGAGTCACCCAGGACTTGCAGCTCCTGTTCAAGGAGAAAGTGGCAGTCATGGCTTGGAGCGCCATTGTGCAACTTTGGGTTGTATGTCAGGTGCACCTGTTCATGGCCTGGGGACTTTGTTTGCAGTCACTCATGCCTTTGTGACTTCTGGCTGGATTTAGCCTTGGCTGAATAGGCTGGGTTATTACAATTTAATCTACATGGGGGTATCCTTGAAGAGTATTAGAAGCTTCAGCTGGTGCAGAATGCCTCTGCATAGGCAGTTAACAGTGCCATTTATTTGGTGAATGTGACATCACTGTTTCTCAACCTGCATTGGCTCCCAGTGTAGTTCTGGATACAATTCAAGGTCCTGGTTGTCACCTTTAAAGCCCTTTATAGCTTGGAACTAGGCTACTTACAGGACTATCTCACTCCAATCATCTCTCCCTATCCTACCCAATCAAGAAATAGGGGCATAGTCCTGGTACCATTGGCTAAAGACTATTGCCTGGTGGGATCCAGCTGTGGTGCCCAATCTTTGGAACATCATCACTCTAAGATTATATTGACCATGTCCATACTAGACTTCTATTTGGGACTTGAAAACTTGATTTTGTGCCTGAGCCTGGGGCCCTGGCCATGTGAGAGGACCCATCTCAACATCCACTCTGCCAACACAACAGCACAGATCCCTAGGCAACACCCAAGTATTTACAGGCTAGTATCACTTCTCACCATTACAACTTTCCCCTGTTGCTACATTTACTATTGCTCCTCCTTGTGAGTCCTACTACTAGAGAAGAGCGTATTTCTAATTTCTTTATTTACACACACAAACTCAAACCTCCTTCCTTCCCATGCACCAATACCATCATACCCAGATCTCTTGCAGCACAGTATTTATAGCCAGCCTGGCTGTGCTGGCTGGGGAGAGGGCTTAAAAAAGCAGAACAACAGCAGCACAGCTGCTGGCTATTTTCGAGGTAGCCTACTCTCTCTCATACCACATCACAGAATCAAGTACTGGATTTTTTTACTTTTTATATGAGACACTAATTTCAGGGTACATGCAACAGTTCTTATGTATTTCCCACCTCAAAATGACAGGAAACTACCATTAATTTTCACTCATTATGTCTAACAGGCTTGAAGACCTGCAGATTAATAACCAACAGGATTTGTTATGTAATGAGTTGGTCCTTCATAGCCTTTCTTATGTATTATCATAGCACAGAAATTTAAATGCCTGAAGAAAACTAATAAGGTACAATAAAAGCATTCTGCTTATTTTTTGAGGTCATTTTTGTTTGTGAATGATTTACGCAGCAGTACAGATATGGACACAACACATATATTTTCCTCTGAATAAGATTCTTCCAAATATGAAGAATTACTTACTGAATCAGTAATTGTAGAGAAAAGTAAAAAATATAGTTGTAAAATAGCACCATCTACTGGTTTCTAATCTACATTAACATAATTCTGAATCTAACTACGGTATTTTATCTATTGCAGTGGTGGCGAACCTATGGCACGGGTGCCAGAGGTGGCACTCGGAGCCTTCTTTATGGGCCATGTGCCGTTGCCCCTGCCTTGCCTCCTCCCGCGACCCCCTCCTCTCCAGCAGCCCCCTGAAGGAGACTTGCCCTCGAGCGTGGCCCACACGGAGCAGTGCAGCCAAGGACATGGCAGCCAGGCAGCGTAGACAAGACTCTGCCCTCACACCCCATCATGCAGTTGATGCTGCAGGGCGCGGGCAGAGGGTGTGGCCACCATAGCGCTGCTGGGCGGCCTGGATTATCTGCGGCGGGCCCTGGAGGCGGTGAGTGGTCCTGTGGGCAGGCGGGGTTGGGGCTGGGGGGGTAGAGTGGGGGCAGGCAGGAGGTGGAGCGGGGCGGGGCCAGTTTTTGGGCACTCGGTCTCTAAAAGATTCGCCATCACTGATCTATTGTTTCCCAATCCAGCTCTTCTAATTGCATAACTACAGTAGCACCTCTAATTTGAAGTGCTCCTTTAAAACCTTCACCATTGTTTATTGAGGAGCCAGTAACTTTGAAAGTTTTAATCTTAAATCTCCAAAGATATTTGGAGAGCCCCAGGTCTGGGAAAATTTTCTAGAAAGGGACCAGGTTGTTTGACAGTCTGTACGTAGGAAAATGTATTGAGATCAGCTTCAAAGGTCCTGGTTTCTGGCTTATTAGAAAAAAGAGGCTAAGGTGACAGCGCAGAGCTTTTTTATCACTTGCCCAACACATATAGGATTTACTTGCCTTAGGAATAACAGAATAACAGAGTTGGAAGGGACCTTGAGGTCTTCTAGTTCAACACCCTGGTCAAGCAGCAGACCCTACCATTTCAGACAAATGGCCATACAATCTCTTCTTAAAACCTCCAGTGTTAGAACATCCACAACTTTTGATGGCAAGCCATTCCACTGATTAATTCATTCATATGTGAATGCCAATATTTTGAAATTAGTATGTGTCAAACCCATATGACATTATGTAACAAAGCATGCATTAGTATTTAATATCAAGGTAACCCTGTGAGAAAACTCCCTGAGACTTTTACAATTCGTGGGCGCCCCATCACTGGAGGTTTTTAAAAAGAAACTGAACAATCACTTGTCTGAGATGGCATAGCTTCTCTTGCTTGAGCAGGGGGCTGGACTAGAAAACCTCCAAAGTCCCTTCCAGATTCTACTCTACTCTACTCTACTTCAAGATTGGTGGCTAATAATGTCATGTCTTCTAACACTACCCAGTGATTTAATCATTTCAGCATCTGTTTACTTCTCAATAAATCATAGTTTTGGAAGCAGTTTCAAATAACTGTGTGCACAATTGCTTTTCTATCAAATATATTCATGTACCTGTAATATAATTTACCAGTCTTCTGAGACAATGAGTCTGAAAGCCAGTTTACAAATTTTAAAAAATTATCACAATGTGCAGTACAACTGATATGTAATATTTATTTTTTGAGGCTTATTGGCCACTCCAATTGTGGTAGTGTGGTTCTCATGTCAGAAAAATTAGGTTAGAAAGCAACAATACTATAAAAACCAAACATATGAATACTTCAAGTATTTACCCCATCTTACCCTTATCTTTTTCTCTAGAAAAATACCTCACTCAAGTATCCAAAATTCCCAAGTGAGGATGGTAAATTCCATGCTAAAAATCACTAGAAAAGAGATTAAAGATAAAAATGCCAACACTGTAATAACCACAACAGAAAACAATACATGTAGTTCCCCGTTGAACTGTGGAGTCTAACATCAGCAGTACTGATGTTGGATAGTGAAATATCTGTAAGCAAATACCCAAGCTCAGACCACATCAAGGACTCCGCTATTGTAATAACTTTATATAAATTGGTGGCATATCCACATCTAGAGTATAATTCTGGAAACATGCTTGAAAAGGAATATAAGAGAGCTTTTAAAAAAATTGAGAGCAACGTCTATGGAGATTCTCAACCATCCAGGTCATGGTTGTCCCAAAGGGCTTTTCAAAAGGCAACTGGACTGGATTCCAGCTGCCTTCTCCACCATTCAATCAGAATTGAAGAAGCTTCTTGGATGAAAAGCGAAAAGTTTCCAAAGGGGAAAAAAAAATCAACAAAGTCCAGTTGCCTTTTGAAAAGCACCTTTGGAGTTAAAGAGAGCAACCAAAATAATCAGGCGGCTCAAACAACTCTGTGAGCAAAGATTAGAATTCTTTAATTTGGAAAAAAGACACTTCTTTGTGTAGAGAACAAATAATAGGCGCTGGGAAAGACCTCGACATTAGAAATGACAACGTAGCCCAAAACAGCACGTGACTTTACTACGCAGCCGCAGTCGGAAGATGACAAACTTAAACCTCACCGCCCGGGACTAATCAACAATCCTCGCGAAGGCTGCGCAGACACGCATGCGCATTCTATCTATCTTGTCTCGCCTCCTTCCGGACAGTTGTACCATAGTAGCTTTGGCGAAGGAGGGGCGGCGGACTGGATTGGAGGCGGAGCTGGTTGACGTGAGCATCGACGGAATACGGCGGTTGGGGGTTCTGCGCCGGTTGGGTCACCGCTTTCTCCTTCGCTGCCGTCTTGCCGACTTCGGTCATGGAGTCTGTGGATAAAGCCACGCGCCTCTTGCTGCCTTACTTGACCCACTGTTCGGTGCGGCGGATGATGCCCTGGGCATTGATGAGCTTCATGGTGATCGGATCCCTTATTAAAGAATTAGTGCCGCTGGCTGCTACTTATTTGAGTAACAAGCGCAACGTGCTCAATGTGTAAGACGCTTTCTCTGACTCTGGAGAGTCCTGGGCGTTGATGGAGGGAGGGGATCAAGGGGATCCGAGAGACAGGGACTGGCTATGCCTGGGATACTGGCTGGTAGCGGGAAAAAGAGTAGGGGGCTTACTGAAGGGCGTTGACAGAATACAGTATGAATGGGGAGTCTATGAGCCAGAAGAAGCTTGCTCTTTTAAATTGGGGTTCTCTCTTTTCCCTTCTCTCGGGGATCCCTCATACCTTTTTATACCCGAGACACATTTCTAACCTGCTTCCCAAGTTGTGTAGTTTGAGAAAGAGCCAGTGAGACTATGGAGTTTACTTTAATGCATTTTTTAAATCTTGCTGAGTGAAGGAATCCAAATTAAGAGACATTAACGTATAATTAATTGTTCAGACACCTGCAATAAAGGCAAGCTCATGGTCTCTGTTCGGCAATTTATTCCACTAGCTAACTGATCTTCACTTTTTCCAAACTTGGGAATAATAAGTTATAATAAGTGTATTAATTAATATAGCAAGGTTGATTACTAGCCAGATATTATTTTGAATTGAACTGAATCGCAATCCGGTAAAAACTAGTTGGTTGTTTCTTAAATTTAAGCAGGGTAAGATCTGGTTAGTACTTAGAAGAAAAATCCTACATTCTAGATAAGATTAGGAAGTTAAACACATTTTAGAATTGGTACTGGCAAATGACTGTATTGTTATTAAGAAAAGCACAGGTATGTGGCTACAAAATCACCAAGACTTAAGTTCAATTCATGCATAGCAGCCTGTATACTTACATAGAACTGCTGCTGGATTTAACAGTGAAGTGTTTTAATTGTGTTGTACACAAAAAGCAGTAAAGGTTATGTTGCCTAGGGATGAAGGGGATAGACTAGAAATCCACAGCTAACCACTTTATTGGGCCACGTGAAGTTTTATAAAAGCCTGTCAGTTGGATGTTTTATAAATATCTATGCTTTTTTCTTATTCCTTTTGAGGAATATTTTCATTTGAAATTTGACTAGATTGTATTTTGGGGGAAGTTATTAATTCCTCTTTAGTAATTACCTAAAAGGTTAAATCATTATTGCTATCATTTTTTTTATTACAATCACAGTTTAACTCAGCCAATATACTACTATAGTTGAGAGTAATAGGAACTGTACAAGTAGTTGTTGCCTAACAACCATTTGCTAAATGACCATTTGCAATTATGATGTGCTTGGAACAATTGCTTTATGGACGTTATAAAATGTTGTGCATGCATCCCCTGCCACAATTATGTGACTGGATTTTAGGCGCTTTGCATCTGGTTTCTGAAAAGCAGTTGCAGCCTCCTATAGTCATGTGGCCGTGATTTGCACTGTTCAGAAGAATGGGTTTACCCATATGACTATGGCAACCACAGCAAAAATAAATAAATCATAAAATTAGGTCCAGTCACATTGGTGCCTTGACTTGTTACCACCATAAATTCCATCTCATTTCAGTCAGAAATCAAGGACTACCTGTAATTGGATCTTATTAAAAAGTGCTAAATTAGACCTTTACATTTTTTCACAAATTCGGTACATTATTTTAGATGAAATCATATGTTGGTCTCCTATTACAGGGTGTGTAAGTATGGATGCAACATTCCCCCTACCAGATGCAGAAATTAATTAGGATGGATGTAAATTACAACTTTTTGTTACCTATATTGCCTGGTGCTCACTATATTTTTTCTTCATTTTATCTCCGGCAGCTATTTTGTGAAATTTGCCTGGGCCTGGACATTCTCTCTGCTGTTGCCATTCATCTCTCTTACCAACTACAATGTCCTCCAGAATATTTTGCCTGTACTCGTTCGCCTTTTCTCATTGCTGGTTGGTACTATCATTTGGTATACAGGCACAAGAACATTTTTGTTCATTCAGGACTTCACAGGCGGTTGTTACAAATCATCATCCCTTGCTGTAGTGCTTCAAGAACTTTCCAGTGAACTACAGTGCCTACAAGCTGGTGGGATATGGCAACAGTTTGATATCTCAGGACATTCCTTCCTCCTTTCATATTGTGTTCTAATGATTCTAGAAGAAATGGCTGTGATGCCCAGTGTGAAATTCTTTCGGGGTTCTAGACTGCACACAATGGTGAACAGTTTGTTCTTCGCACTGGCTTGTTTGACTTTTATCTGGCTTTTCATGCTTCTTACTACTGCTTTATATTTCCATAATTTTTGGGACAAGTTTTTTGGCACTTTCTTTGGTCTTTCTGCTTGGTATGGAACGTACGGGTTTTGGTACATGTCACCTTTCTCTCCTGGACTTCCTCCCCAAAGGACCCTTTATTTCCCAAAACCTAATCGTAGGCTATAAAACCAGTTTGTTGATCAGAATCTGTTTTAAAGAATATTTATTTTTAATTATCTGAATTTATTTTCCAGTGTCTAATTGTGGGCCATAAAATCAGTTTGTGGATCAGAATCTGTTTTAAAGAATATTCATTTTTAATTATTTAAATTTTAAGACAACTATTAATATGAATATTTAAAGTGAGTGGCAAAAGTCCAAATACTGTTTGTATTATGAGTTTGTGATATAATTCTTGAAAGTGGTTGCTATATTAATAATATCAAGACTTTGTTAATCTTGGCTAACTAAATGGAAACTGCTGACCAGATTGATACTAGAATAATCTGAGAGGAAAATACTCCTCTTAAAAACCCTACTTTTGCCTGTGAAGAGGCAAATTTAATAGACAAAAATGCACCCCGATGCAAAATTCATATGCATTTTTATTACAAAAATAAAGGACTCGATAAATGGACATATTTTTGGTTAGATAAATTAAATAAGATAAATTAGAATATGTACTAGAGCTTTATAAAGGAAAATGATAATAAAATTATTTTTAAAAAAAGATAAGATAAATTGGCCAAGATTATACCTTATTTGAGGATCTGATAACCGAATGATAGACACTTAAACATTTCTCAATTTATCTTGCTTGAAGATGTAAAACAAAGTGTTTTTTTAATTTGATTTAAATCCATATATTAATACAAAAAGGATAGCCAGATTAGTTTATGGTGTGTATTGCCATAGGGAGATTTTGGATTTAAAACAACTCTCCCCACCATTCTGTTTCTTTCAACACTCAACTTTGTACAGATGAAATAGCTTGCATCATGCACCATATTTTTTTTTAGAATTTATCTGGCTTAGAGTCTTTAGAATACTTTATATGTCATGTTTTTGGCAATATGGTATCCCTGAATGTTGCAAAATGCTTTATATCTGTAATCAAAGCTATCCTGTTAAAGCAGGCTGTGGCTTGCAGGATTGCAGCTTTCACATTCTCTGCTCTTCCAGTTCTTAATTAAAGATGGCAGTTGGGAAATCTATAGGAATGTTATAATTTATTGTATATGGGAATTATATAGAAAAAGCTATATTGGTTTTTACAGCCATCTGTTACAACAGGAAAATATAATCTTATTTAAAAACTCTTGTTTAGGTTCATTGGTTACTTTGACTTTTCTTGCATGGCACAACCTTAAAATGTTAATATATTTATATTAATTGTTTTTTCTACAGTTTTGCATTTTGACTAAAGGTATTATACTACAAGTGCAATTATTTTTTAATGCAATTGGAAAAATGATCCAGTTATAATGAATTTTGCTGCTTTATATGTTATATTCAGCTACTGTATTTTTATGTGCTCCTACTAGACATTTAATAGTCAAAGCTGCATAGTTTCAGCTACTAAGCTAAAGTGGGGATCTTTTGGGGCTCAGACAGCACTTCGTTTTTTATTTTTATTTTTGATCTCCAACACCATGATAGACATGCACTGATACCACTGGAGGCATTGGTTCTGAAAATTGTTGCTGTCTTTGTGTCTCTATGTTTGTTTGTTTTTTAAAGATTTGGGGGGATTTTTAGATGGGAAGTAGGTATGTTAGAGTCTTAAGGAGGCCTAGCACACTTATCCTATGTTTATGTCCCCCAGAAATAAATATTATGCAAATATTACACATAAATGCCTTGGGAGTCTCTGGAGCTGTAAAAAATGTGATTGCATGTGGTCTATGATTTGCTCATGTTTGTGCTAACTTTTCAGTTTTCTAATTGTCTTAACAAAAGTTGCTAACTCAGCTCCAGAGCTTTCAGGTTTGGATGTGATAGGAACACTAAATGATTTGAAGTCTTCATGTTAATTGTATTGCTGACAAACTGCCTGAGTTCAGGAGTTCATATTAATTTAACAGGCATGCCATTTCAAGTGCCTTTGAATTGTATGGTACCTCTAAATATACTACAAGATATTTCCTTGAAAAGTTATCCAGTCAAATTTGTGTATGCTATCTATTTAAAGATGAAATTCTTTTGGCATTTCCCCTGATTTAAGTAATGCCTTAGTGAATCATAGCCTCATTCTTAGGATTGTGTTACTTGTCCCCCATAGAGTTACAACAGCTTGTATTTGTGCCACATTTAAACTTCTATATTGTGCGTGACAATTGATTTGTATAACACTATTTCCAAGATAGGAGAAAAAGTCAAACTCAGCTTTATGCTTATTCATAAATCAAAACGAGCAGCTAAGCCACAGTCCATATATATGTATGTATGCGTGTGTATATAAATACATACACAAACACAGATACATACATACACATATTTAGATGACTAATGAGTTGAAAAGGTAAAAGAATAATCACATTGGCAATGAAACATTGGCAATGAAAGTTTTATGGAGGTAGAAATTTGAGATCAGAAGTATATGTCAACGGAATTAGAAGCAGATTTAGTTTATATTACCATTATTGGTCTTATTGTAAGCTCTTTTGGAAATAAAGTTAAATATGCATTTATCTATATAGCTTAGTTCATCAGACCTTCATGAATTGAGCTATATAGGCAGATGAGGAGCAGCCTTTATGGCTGGTAACCCATCTTCCAATCAGGTTATATTTATGGCTCCTGTAATTCTTTCAGGGTATTCCAATATACAAAATGGTTCCATGTCATTGTAATGTACTGAATAATTAGTGAATTTTTAAGCAATTCCTAAGTATTGTATGTTTCCGTTAGCTGAGATTTTTCTTAGCATTGCTATACACAGTTAGGCTTACATAAAGTATATTTGCTGTAATATTTTTCATATTTCTTAAACACTGGTTTTGTATTGTTTAACGAAGGCAGTGAAATGCATTTATTTTACAGATATGTACATTTTGTTACCTGGGTATGATGTGTTAACATTGTTATTGTATAGGCAAGCATTCTATAAAAAATTCTTCTGACTCTATGTAATACAGATTTTGGGGGGGTAATAATCACTTGATGACAGTTTTGTTGCCCATGAATGAACAAATTAAATTCATCTTCAATCAGTGCAATAACAAATTATCTCTCCAGTGGTTTTGGCTTCTTTTTTTTTTTTTTGCTAAACTACTTATGTTACCAGTTGTGCTACAGTAATGTCTTAATCTGAAACGTATTTTACTACATCTTATTAAATAAAAAGCACTGCTTTTGCCAAGTAATAATTTTTCTCTCCTACTTCTAATGTAATGTGTGCCATGATCCTATTTTGGTGTACCAATAAAAAAGAATTTTGGGTGTGTTTTGCTAACTGTAATGGAGAACAGATTAATCTGTGCTTCCTGAAGTGGGCAAAGTAAAGCTCTGAGCATCTCATGACTACAGTGTCAGACTTCATGGTAAACTATCTTTAATGTGTTCAAATGGTTAATTTGACTTCCAAAGCATAAGTGAGAATTTCTGTTATGCAGACTTGGCCATGAAAATGAGTTTGCCATTAATATTTCAAGAATGTTAGCTCTGTCCTGGTTTGTGTTTTGTGTTTTAATTTTAGCAGCAGGGATTCTAGGACTGCTCAAAAAATTAATACCAAACAAATGCTTTTAAATTAATAAGAATAATTATCTTAGAAGTTGATTTCTACTACATACCCTGGAACGAATGTTGTAAACTTCATTTCACACTTGAGCAAGATCCTAATTATAGCACGTTGGAAATACTTCGATTTGACATTCTTCTAGAAGTACAGGGAAGTCTCATAGTTAATACTTGGTGAAAAGATTGTAGGAAAGCCAAAGTAGGAAAGTATTATAGGCAGCCCTTGAGATATGACTATAATGGAGTTTGCACATGTCCTGAGAATGGTAAGTGAAACATTTCACTTAATGATTCCCCCATCCCTGCTCTTCCCAATGAATTGTTAAATTAATGTGCAGGTCGTTAAGCAGATCATGGGATGCCTCGGATAGGGAAGGTTCTTGAAGGCCTAGCACAGGCCCGTGCCCACCTGCTCCAGCCCTTTCAAAGCCTTCCCACTTACCGACATACCTGTGCTCCACTTCCTGCCCTTTTTTCAAACATATATCATGTAACCCAATAATCAAAACAATATAAATAGGCATTAGAATGTTCATATGTCTCCCTTGTATTATTGCATAAATTTCCCATTAGTTCCAAGATTCCTTGAATGCTCATTAAAATTTGAAGATTATTATGTGTATGGAACTGTTTGATTTCTACATCTGAAATATTTGTCCTCGGCTGAGAATGACCTAGCATGGGCAGGAAAAAGCCTTCAATTGAATGGTTATAATTGTGCAATTTTTAATAACTGCAATATGATGCAACTGCAGATGGAGCTAATCCAGTGCTTTTGAAGCTATTCAAAATCTCTTGCAGCTGTAGTAACACATGCTACTTACCCATAATAACAAGGACATTAAAGATGTATGCCCTTAAATTACCTTATACAGTATTCTTCTTCACCTCTCAGGTCCCACAAGACCAAAAGAATCCTAGATCAAAGCACAAGATATTTCCTTGCCCGTCCTGGATCCACAGCTGACACTAGAAGATCAGTTGGCGGCCGTGGCCAGGGGGACGTTTTATCGGGTACGCCTGATTCACCAATTGCGGCCTTTTTTGGATCGGGACGCCTTGCGCACAGTCACTCATGCCCTTGTCACCTCCCGCCTGGACTACTGTAACGCTCTCTACATGGGGCTTCCCTTGAGGAGCACTCGGAG